CTAAAACACGAAAGGGTAACTGAGTGTGAGAGATTATAAGAAAAAGAAAACATTATAAAGGAGAAAGAACAATAAAAGAAAAGAAATTCAGAAGACAGAAGATAGCGATTTATTTAAATTTTTGAAGATCAAAGTTCACTGGAAGGAAATATGCCAGAAGAGAATTTCTTATGCGAGAAATGAAAGAGAAGAAACTCTTAGTATAGAACTCACGGTTACATCCAGCCATTTCAACTGTCAAACCGCCAATATAGCAGTACGCTTACATGCGTTCCTGGGGAAAATATCCGACACTACACAAAAAAGTGAATTTATTTATTTTTCAGAAAGTGTCGAATTTAGTTCTTCATATGCATAGAAATATTACCAACTCTTTAAAAATAAGAAAAATAATATTTTACATTATTTTTCTCAATTTGGAAATATCTGAGTGAATTTTCGGAATATTTGCTTAATTTTAGCGGCCCTAAAACTTTGACTACATCTACGGTAAATGATTCAATTTATAAAAGTAGAAATAAAAAAAATTCAAGTGTTTCTTTTGTGTCTTTATTTTAAGATATTTATTGATTTTTTTTTCTATCCGGTGAAATTTGACTGCAACTACGTCACCAGTAGAATGAAATTAAATTTTAATTTTCCTAAAAACTAAAATTTTATTTCGCTTTCCATTGAATTTATTAAATCAAATCAAATCTGCTGAAATTGAGAAAAATTATGTAAAATGGTGATATATATATATATATATATATATATATATATATATATATATATATATTAGAATTTTTAAAAAACTTAAATTTAAATACCTGAACTTGAAAATTACTGTAAGTACTAAATTAATAAAAATGAACTTCCTTGATATAGCATTAGATTTAATGAATAATATATACTTATCTTACAAAAAGCCCAATACTAATCCTTTGTATATACACCCTAAGTCTAATCATCCTCCATCTATAATTAAGCATACACCTTCATCTATTGAAAAAAGAATAAGTACAAAATCAGCAAATGAGTAGATATTGAACATAGTAATTTCTAGAATACCCTAAAGAATAAATTCCCCAAACTCTAATTTATAAAAAATGAAAATGGAAACAATAGAAAAAACAAATAGAGAAAAATCATTTGGTATACGCCCCCCCCCAATACAACCAATTAGTAAAAAATAAATTAGGACAAAAATTCCTTGCATTAATTGATAAACATTTTCCTAGACACTAAACTTTTTTAATAAAAATACCCATAAATTAAGTTACTGTTGCACTGAAAACTCAGAAATGATTATTAAAAAACATAATGCTAATATCTTGAGTAAACGCTTAGACCAAAATCAAAAAAATCTAGATCCTAAAATAAAAAGAAATGAAGATAAGAAAAAAATTGTGTAACTGTAGAAATCCTCAAAGCTGTTCTCTCAATAATAAATGTTGCATGGAATCATTAGTTTATCAATGCGATATTTCCTCTATTGAAGATACAGACATAGCTAAAATCTACATCCGATGCACAAAACATGATTTCAAAAGACGTTGGAACCACCATCAAATGTCCTTTAAAAATAATAAATACAGAAATCAAACGTCCCTATCTAAATATTTTTGGTACTTAAAAAGAAATCAATAAAACACCAACAGTAAAATAGAAATTATTAATAAGAAGAGCTAGAGCTTGTAGATCATTAAATGACCCATGTCCTTTGTGCATACTTGAAAAATTATACATTAATAAGTTTTTGAAAAATAAAAATTTCCTTAAAGAAATGAAATAGCTATTTTTTTGTAGAAACTGTCAAATATTTTCTTTAAATAATGATTAATTTTGAAAAAGAGTTGAAAGATGAAACATACATACTTGATCTTTGATTAATAATTTTTTAAAATACGAATGTAATATATTTATCTGTAAAAAATAACGTATAGTCTATTAGTCATTAGAAATAGAAGAGTACTTTAAATTTGTAGGAATAAATTTTTAAATATTAAAAATACGACTTATTCATATTCTGACGACCCCTTTAAGTAATCTTTGTGTATAAAATTATAAATTAAGCGGCCAAATAAAAATGCCAAAAACTTTTTATCATTGAAAAACCCAGACGACACGCGAAAAACGGATGTCATTGTTGACGAGCAGGGATCCCTACCCGACCTTAACTTAACCTGATTTTGAAAGCAACTTATATTCGATACATAAGTTGTCTAGGGAAATTAACATCCAAACACCTCTTATCAAAGTTCGAGATGGTGTAATGGTTAGCAAGCTTGGCTCGCTAGAACAATTACCAGTGAGTTCAATCCTCACTGGCTACCCCCTAATTTCGGCCTTGTGCCACATCTAAGCTACGCTTGGAAAATCACTATCAAAATGATTGAATTTTTCCGTAAACTTAACAATTTAAAATATTAAGATTGTCTGTGTTTATAAGTAAAGTAAACTTCTTAATTGGTTATTCTAAAAATCGCTTGCGAATGGAAGAGGAGCTATGGACTTTAAGTTTAATTTTATAATTGAATTTAAAATTTTAGTTTCTGATTTGAAACATGGTAATTCCTGTGTAGAGATGGGACCATATTTTTAAAATAGAATATATATATATAGATAATATTAGTGGTTAATACACACACACACATACACACACACACACACACACACACACACACACACACATATATATATATATATATATATATATATAAAATATATAAATATATATACATACATACATACATACATACACATACATATATATATATAAATTTCCAAGAGAATAAAATCCCCTCTCTAGAGCTTTCATTTACTTCTCAACACTCAGAGGTGACAGCCTGTTTCACGCTTAAAGGCAAGCGTCATGATTGCGTGTAAGCATGAAATAGACTGTCACTTTTGGGTGTTGACTTCAATGTCCACTTATATATATGCTTTACCCCTGATATTGAGCACTTAACTCGTAAATACTACACTATAAAAATTTTATCATATATATATATATATGTATATATATATATATACACACGGCACAGACAAACTGTTTTGCTGTATCACAGCTCATCAGTGCGATAGACATCCGATCGATTCAGGCTGGGATAACAAGTTAGATATTCGTTAAAAATAGCTATTAAACAAATAAATTACACCTTTTTGGAGAATATAAATAAATAAAAAAAATGAACCTCTATATTTAGATAAATCAGACTAATTGTAGGTAAGAATAACATCCCTACATTAATGATGGCTGCCACCTGGTTGTTGAGAATAAACATCACAAGATAATCACTGTAACTGTTTTTTCTTTCTCTGGTTACATGGTGATCATTTTTCAGTTGGTCGAACTGGACCAATGCAACGTCTTCCTCGATTTTAACCAATTCATGTACAGGCATTGTTTGATATCATATTCTATTTTTGTATGCTTAATGGCCATCAAGTTGCAGGCGATACATCAGATTTTTTTCTTCTCCTATGTGGATACCCTAACGAAGGCTAAGAAGTACATCATTACCAGTGAGCCTATTGCACGCCTAGATCGAGCGCTTCATTCGTTTATTATGGCTTATCAACCCTTTGCAGGTTATTTAAAGCCGGAAAATATTTTAAGATTGTAAGAAATTTTCGGAGATAATAATGATTTACTAATACAAGTTCTAACAATTAACCCATACCTGGGGTAGTAGTGGATTCACACCTTTCCCAAGGGTATTTGCGAATCAATAAATAAAACGAACCTGATTAGAATTGGAACACGTCCCTCCTATCTACAATTCCGGGACATAATCCATTATACCACCTGCACATCCAAGCTAAAGGCCATCTAGGTACTGACCAGGCTCAACGTTGCTTAACTTCGGTGATCGCATCGTGATATAGCCGTACGTGATAAATTTTATACTTGTATTAATTAATTAATATATATATATATATATATATATATATATATTGTTAATACTTCAAACTTTAATAGACGCTCTGTGTTTTACACCTGTGGCTCTGTGCTCTCGATAAAACGTAATAAAAAAGTTATGCTGTCCAGCAAGGTTCAAAATTGCACCCTCCTTTGTAGGAGACAGGTTTAAACTGCTCGGTCTCAGACAGTGTCACAGCCCAGCAAGTTTATTGCGTCTTTTTCAAACACCTTTATCTACTAAATGTAATGTTTGAATTAATAAAAGCGACCGATTAAAAATAATCCTAGTGGTTAGAACGTTCGCTTTCTGACCATGAGACCCGGGTTCGAATCTCACCATGGTCGATTTGATGTTATCGGTCTGGAGTGGGGTCGATCCCAGCGTGCGGCAGCTTTCGAATGTGCATAAAAACCATACCACGAGTTGACCCAAGTCTTGTGAATGAAATTGTGTAGACGGAACACATGAGATCGTCGATAGCTGTGCTAGCACGATGTCACAAGTCATCGTGACCGAGGGTTTGAGTGGGCTGATGTTGTTCAAATGGTTGATCATTCTAGATAACACTCTCTCTCCCAGAAACTGCAACTAAGGTCCGCTCAGCATAGTTGCAGTATAAACCATAAGTGGGATCTGTGTGTGTTGAACAAACACAAATGTGCCTGAACGAGAGTCTGCAATAGGGATTGGCTAGTCGCCCTTGTAGATGAGTATCCTCGTATACGAATGGCCAGCTATTGTTATTATATAGGGTGCGACAGAAATACCTCCCACATATATCCACATTAGCTAGCTGAAGCCTCTAATGCCTTACTATTATGTAGGTGGTATTTTTGAGAGATATATGTGGGAGATATTTCTGTTGCACAACATATATATATATATATATATATATATATATATATATATATATATATATGTGTGTGTGTGTGTGTGTGTGTGTGTGTGTATGTGTGTGTGTGTGTGTGTGTGTGTGTGTGTGTGTGTGTGTGTGTGTGTGTGTATACTGAAGCATGATTTATTGAAATCAACTGAAAAGATTTATCTGTTTAATATTTATTATATTTTTCCAGTTTACTTATTAGATTAAATTTATTCGAGTAGTTTTTCTTTATAAATCGCATCTGGACATGCGACAGCTAATATGCAAACTGGAAAAAATATAATAAAATTTAAACCCACAAACAAGACCTATCTTATCGATTTCAATAAATGTTTGAACACACACATACACATATACACACACATATATATATATATATATATATATATATATATATATATATATATATATATATATATGTATATATCAATGTGTATGTGCGTGTAAGTGTGTTTGCTTATGTGTTGTGTTTGAGTGTGTTTTGCTTGATTAAGTGTAATGTTATTTTTTTTTTTTTTTTGTAACAATTTGATTTTTTCCTCCATATTCACACCAAAAAGTGCGCAGTATTTGGGTCGATTTTAATCTTCCTTTCCCTTTTCTGCATTTGTAAAAAAAAAATATTGCTTCAATGTCTTATCTCGTTTGCAGGCTGATAACAATAGGGCGCCGGTGCAATATGTATGACCATAAGTAAGAGAAAGTGGTTTGATTATTATTATTATTATTATTATAATTAAATATTTGACTTTTGCCTTCTTGATTTGATACTGAGGAAATCAACAAAATTGTTATGACTGGTTGATGTTGGCAAGTTTGTTGCTCTGCCTGTCATATTGAAGTTTCGGTGATCTGCTATCATTGTGTAGAGTTATGAAATTATATTATCTGACTAGCAGCAGAGCCCGGCGTTACCCGGGGATGTAACAGTAAGAGATAGATCAAGTATCGACCATCATAAAGACTGAAAAATAAAATTGACAAAGATTATTGTTTAAGGTTGACGGACACGCTTGTCTTAATCTTTTTTTTTTTTTTTACGAATTGGTCAAACCCAAACTCAAACAAAAACATTGTTTTCAATCGTTATGATGAGTCTATCGATTGAATAGAATTTTATTATAAACAATTGTCTTGTAAATGGAATTTTTAAAGCATTCTGAATGTAAAAATAAAGAAAAAAAGTGTGCAAGACAATAAGAAACACTACCTACCAAAAAAAAGTTTTGTTGAAATCGGTTGAAAAATGTAGGAAATCCGATCCCATATATAAACGAACACACACACACACAAAGAACCAACCTGGGTTTTATAATAAGTATAACTCGATATGAGTTGTCCCTCTTTCATTCTCCTGATGCCTCTTAATCGTGTTTTCAAATTGATTTCGTGCGAAGACAATTGTGTTTTTCCAATTTTTGGCGCTGTCAGAACCACCGCAAGGTAATTTTACGTAGTCCTGTGAAGTTTTGTTGAAATCGGTTGAAAAATGTAAGAAATCCGATCCAATATATAAACGAACACACACACACACACACACACAAACAAACACACACACACACACACACACACACACACACACACACGCACACACACACACACAACCGGGGTTTTATAATAAGTATGATTTACAAAATGTGCGTAACATTTTTCAATAGGTGGCGTATGAGCACGTGATTTCCTTTCATACATGACATATTTATTACAACTCATACACACCCACTCACTCATATATATATATATATATATATATATATATATATATATATATATATATATACTGCTTCTCATCAAAGTATTCCTTCATCAATTTTGATTTGTGACAGGGAATATTATCCTGCATAAAAATGAGTATAGTGGGATCGATTTGCACCCTTTCAGCAGAAGGGAGCAGACAAGACTCTAAAATTCTCTTGTACTGCTCGCTCCTTTTCAATAGGCATCCCCAAAACATTATACTGAACGGATGCTTGACAGTACTTACTACTAAATTCAAAGAGCTTTCAAAGCTTCTTCAGATTTTAGATCGCTTATCCTTTGAATTTAACTTTCGTTTCATCGGAGAAGAGATCATTTAGCAAAAAACAATCAGGTGAGTCGCTTTTATCGAACAGCACTGTATATATATATATATTTTTTTTTTTTAAGCATTTCACCCCAAGCAAGGCGGGAAGCCACTAGGACGCAAGGGGTTACAGAAAATAAGAAGATCAGATAGGAGTGATAGAAGAAAGGATGAGGGTAGTAGATAGATTAAGGCAACTGGAGATGTCGATTGACATTACACTTGAATAGCTGGAGATTATAACTCTCAGGGAAACAGGAGAAGGGAAGAGAGTTCCACAGGCGAGAGGTGCGAGACATGAAGCTATTAGAGCAGAAGAGACGGCTACATTTAGGAGTTTCGACAGTGAAGGGGTGAGAGCGGGATGCCAGCCTCGTAGGGCGCTTGAACTCATGAAGTTTGGGAACCAGCGAATGCAGTTCCTCGGAGCAATTTCCATGAAAGTATTTGTAGAACAGACAGAGGGAGGCGACGGTGCGTCTGTGAGAAAGTAACTGTAGACGAGACGCCAGGGCAGGGCCAACCATATTGCATATCCGCTTCTGGAGCCTATCAAGAACCCCGAGGCAAACAGAAGGGGCGCCAGACCATATATGGCAGCAATACCCCATGCAAGGGAGAATTGTGGATTTGTATATCTGGAGGATCGACTCAGGGGAGAAAAACTTCCTAGCACGGCTCAGGGAGCCAACTTTCCTCGCAGTGGACGAGGCAATTGATTCGATGTATTTATTCCATCTCAGGTCAGCAGTCAACGTGAGACCGAGAAGCCGCAGAGAGTTGCTCTCGAGAAGTTGAGCGTCAGACATTCTAATGGAGGGAAGGGAAGCTCTCTGTGGTGATTAATAGAGAGCAGTTTTGTCTTCGAAGCGTTGAAGTTGACCAGCCAAATCATGCCCCAGTTCACAATCGATTGGAGGTCCTTTTCGAGACGCACGGCAAGGTGAGTTTTGTCAGCGAGAGTGGATTTGTTTTTGAGGCAGGAATAAATTGTGGTGTCATCCGCGTAGATGCCGACTTGAGAAGTTACGGCGTCAGGAAGGTCATTTATATAGATAAGGAATAGAGTGGGGCCTAGGATGGAGCCTTGAGGAACACCTGCGTTCGTGAGATAGGAACTGGAGGAGAATCCGTTGTGAACGACCTTCAATACACGGTTTGACAGGAATGATTGTATTACGTTATATAATCGACCCGTAATGCCATAACCCTGGATCTTGCGGAGAAGGCCGGCGTGCCAAACCCTATCAAATGCTTTGGAGATATCTAGTGCCACGGCTCGGGCTTCCCCGTTATTTTGGAGAGTTCGGTAGACTGTTTCAGTGATGGCTGTAGACCTGGCAAAGCGGAAACCATATTGCTTGTCTGAGAGCAGATTATGGGATGTGAGGTGGTTAACCACCCCGGTATTGATTAGAGCTTCGAAGATTTTGCCGAAGAGGGGAAGGAGACTGATAGGACGGTAGTTGGAAGGGTCAGAGGGGTCGCCGGAGTTCTTGAAGACAGGAACGATCGAAGAGGACTTCCAGCAGTCAGGGAAACAAGATTCCTTGAGGCAGTAGTTGTATAGTTTCGAAAGGGCGGGCGCCAGTTCAGGCGCGCATTTCTTTAAGACAATGGCTGGTATCCCATCTCCACCACTTGCCTTGTTGGGATCTAAATTGGAGATAACGCCCAGTACCAAAGTTGGGGTTATGTTTAACCCACTCAATATGGCCTCAGTTCTAAGAGGGAAGTCGGGTATGGGTACACCGGAAGAGTCGAGCGTCGAGTTGGATGAAAATTTCCGAGCAAAGCATTCAGCCTTGTCGGTAGAGGATGTCAAGACCTCGAACTGGTTGAATAGAGGAGGTATAGAGGGTTTGCAATTATTCAATACACTCTTGCAGAGACGCCAATAATCTTTGGAGCCAAATTTGCGAGATGCAATACGTTCCTTCATTCGATATATATATATATATATATATATATATATATATATATATATATATATATATATATATATTCTTGTTCTGACCCAGTTGTTTAAATTAGTATTTCAATGACAAAACATCAGAATACTGAATATGTTTCAGTACCTTCTCTTGGTACGGTCGGTAATTTGTCACCATTTCATATTTTTAATTTTGCCCATGCGCGTTGTTTGTTTTTGATTTTGTTGACTGCACAGTATAGTAGGGTCAGTTGGGCACCGTCTATGAGAAAACAGCACCATTTCCGCCAGAAATTTGTCCTGCTTGGCATTCGCACTGGAAAAGAGAGAAAAAGAATAGAAAAAAGGAAAGAAAGGTAGGAAAAGCGAGACATAAAAATAGAGAAAGAGAGAGTCAGACATAAGGATAGGAACGGAAAGATAAAGAAGATAGTACAAAGAGAAATAAAGATAGGAAAAGAGAGACATACGATAGGAAGTGAGAGATAGGAAAAAGAGAGATAAAAACGTTAGTAAAATAGAAAGATAGGAAAAGAGAAACATAAAAATAGAGTGAGCGATAAATAAAGAAGTGAAAAGAGAGATAAAAAGATTGAAAAAGAGAGACCTAACGATAGGAAAAAAAGAGAGACATGAAGATGGGAAAAGAAAAACATAGTAAAAGAGAAAGAAAGATTGAAAAAGAGAGACCTAACGATAGGAAAAAAGAGACATGAAGATGGGAAAAGAAAAAAAGATAGTAAAAGAGAAAGAAAGATTGAAAAAGAGAGACCTAACGATAGGAAAAAAAGAGAGACATGAAGATGGGAAAAGAAAAAGATAGTAAAAGAGAAAGAAAGATTGAAAAAGAGAGACCTAACGATATGAAAAAAAGAGAGACATGAAGATGGGAAAAGAAAATCATAGTAAAAGAGAAAGAAAGATTGAAAAAGAGAGACATAAAGACAGGAAAAGAGAGAAAATAAAAAAAAGAAGAAAAGAGCATGGAAATTTAACCGTTTAAAATCTACTATCTATATTTCTCATGTTGTTTGTCTGTGTGTCTGTCGTGGGCGTTGTTACCTCTCCCAGGCCGCATTTCTCACCCGATTTCGATGCGGTTTTCAACACAAGTTTGCAAATGGCCGCCGTAAGGACATGACGGAACCCGATTTTTGAGTTCGGAATCAGGTTCCGAAAAAATCGATAATCGAAAAAATCGAAAAAATTCTGCTTACAGAAGGAATGATCGTATTTCAACCAAATTTGACACCATTAGAAGTGTTGTCCAGAAGTTTCATGACCACTGACCCCTAAACAGCGCGGAAAATCGATAAAACCCAAAAACCGATACGCCCAGATTGCGTCTGAACCGAATGTCGGTTTTTAGCGAAAACCGAGCGGATTTATGAAGAGGCCATTGGGAATCATCATGTGAAGTTTCAACTCTGAGCACCCCCAAACAGAGTGCAAATCGACAATCAGTCAACCCTTAAAAATGTTTTTTTTTCTGGTTTTTTAAAGCTGATCGTATTGTGTTTATTTTTAGTTCTTTTTTCGTAACAGATTTAATGTTTACCATAGAGCTTAGAAAAAGTTGGCAGTGTGATATAGGCAAGAAGTAAGGCATGTAACAACATCAGCTCGGCAAAGGGCGCTCCTCTAAAGGCAAGGAAGGGCAAAAATATTTTAAGCCAAGTGATAGCGATTGCTGTATTAGTCGTACTATTTTTGAATCAAGCACGAAAAGTACTAAACGAAATATTTCCGCGCGTCAAATGCTCTATTTTAGACTTTGAAATCTTAGCCAGCGTCTTCAACGCTGAATACCCCACATTTAGAGACCTACCCCTAAACACAAGCAAAGTGATTTGATATCAGGTTGAAACAGAATAGTCCATGTATCAGGTCAACCCATGAGTTCTGTTCGAATTTTGAATAAAGAAAACAAGTGACCAAATGTTACATTTAATTACAGATTCAATCAACAATGTATTTTCCCTGATTATCTTTGACTTCATTTCATCTATTAACAAGCTTACTAATTCCATTACTGTAAAATTCTTTTGGCTTTGATTCGAAGAACTCACAAATGTCAGTTTTAACCTCTTCCTGTGTTACAAAAGCTGTTTCTTCCAAATGATTCTGTAATCTACGAAACAAATGGTAGTCTGAAGGAGCAAGATTGGGATGAGGAATTTTCTCCCAACCAAGTTCTTCGATCTTTTGTGACGTGATTCTTGCTGTGTGGGGTTGCGTATTGTCCTGATGAAACATCACCTCTTTTCAATTCACGAGAGCAGGTCTTTTTTTCCTCAAAGCTTGCTTCAAACGCTCTAATTGCTGACAGTATATTTGAACATTAATTGTTGCATTAGGTGGTAAGAATTCAAAGTGGATTATTCCTTGACGATCCCACCAGATTGAAAGAAGAACCTTTTGCCCATGAAGTTCTCTTCTTGGCTGTGGCTGGCTCCTTCCCCTTTACCAAGCCACTGTCTAAGACGCTTAACATTTCGATAAAAGATCCATTTTTCGTCGCCAGTCACAAGTCTATCCAAAAAAGGTGAACCAAGTTGGCGAGAATGGAGAGAAGAGCAGATGTCAACTCGGGATTTGAGGTTGTTTTCAGACAATTTATGAGGCACCCATTTTCCAAGTTTAGGAACTTTTCCAAGTTGTTGAAGATGACGATGAACAGTTGCATGGTTTGAACTGAGAATCACTGCCAATTTCTCAACTGATAAAGCAGGATTTTCTTCAAGGGCTGCTTCAAGAAGCTTTTCATCAAACTCAACTGGACGTCCAGTTCGATCTTCATCTTCAAGGGTGAAATCTCCACCTCTGAATTTTTCAAACCATCTTCTGCAAGTTCTTTCATTCACACATTCCTCTCCATAAACTGAGTGAATGTTTCTAGCCGCTTCGGCTGCTGAGTTTCCTTTCTTGAACTCATAAAGCATTATGTGCCTCAAATGTTTCTTGGGTATTTCCATGTTAGCAGGGTTTTAATCAAACAAAATTTAATTTTATTGTTCTCTGAAATAAAATTTGATCAGTTTAAATGCGTCTAAACCTAAAAAATAATGTTCAGCTCTATTAGACATTATAAAATACACTTTAAATTTCGTTCATTTTAACAAAATTTAAAATTCGGACAGAACTTATGGAATGACCTGATATAAGAATTATATTTTCCAAGATTTTGGTTTCCAGAATCTCTAAGGAAAAATATGTACATAAATATATGTAATATTTGACTTAGCGTAGGTATTTTCAGCATAAACTCTGCACTCACTATCACACCAGTGCATGAAAGAAGCCGATGTCGATTAGCAAATTCATCGGAGATATGTCATCTTAGCCGGGTGAAGATTCGCATTTCATCCAATGTCAGTGACTATCCTCGATCAGTAAACACGTGGTTAACCCAGATACGCCTCACATGTCTCTGCGTGGCAAAAACTGTATGGCGTGTAGGTATATAAACATCCACTTAGGAGGGAGAGAAGACTGTCTCTTACATCCACACAAGATTGTAGGATCCACGATTGGAAACGGTCTCGGAGACTCAACTCAGCACCTGATAATTGTGTTGTGGATGAAACTACGGGTTGTGCTACCAGTGGGGAATAATATGTATATTTACTAATATATATATATGTATATATATATATATATGTGTGTATTTGTGTGTGTGGATATATATATATATATATATATATATATATATATATATATATATATATATATATATATATATAGATAGATATACACACTACAGTCTAAATGGTAATTTTTAAAATTGGTCCAAAAGTAGTTGTTTTGTACTTTAAATAAGAGAAAATTAATGCCCATGGTAAAAAAGTGAGACATGACTTTTTATTAAAATTTATTATGACAAAAAAAGAAGCATTTTATGATTAAATTTTGCTCTCGTCAAAATATCCTCCTTTAGCCTTGATTAATGCAGCACAAATGTTTGGCATTCATTGCAAAAGTTTCTCAAAGTATAAATTAGATAATTGATTCCATTTTTTTTTAATGACTGTAATGACTGTTATGAAGGTGTTTTTTTCACTTTTCTTTCAAGTTCATCTCATGTTAATGATGGATGTGGCTTCAAACTTTTTAAAAACTATATTGTATATATTCCGGTTTCCGAAATTTTGGTTTATGTTATTTGTACGAATAAACTGAATTAGTGTTTCTTTTCTCGTTATCCGAAATGGCGTAAACGAAGTTTCATTTAGCACTAGATTATAAGGGAAAACTCTGATAGTTCCCCAAAGCAAACAGCAACCTTCTTCTACATCGGTCTCTGGTGATAAGAAGATTTTTCGAGGTCTCTTGTCTGCATTGATTGATGTGGAAGGCTTGAAATATGACGCTACACTTGACTACTTTTCCTTATACGGTTCAATGTAGGCGCTGAAAACATTATGTAAACCTGCTCTAAACCTACTTGCGATTTCGAAATTAATGGCGTGCATTGTTCCAATCATTGCTGCACTGTTAACCTCAGTGTTATTTAGTTTGGACTCTGGCAATGTTAAAAAATTGTACGTATATAAAAATAGTAATTTATTTTTCGTATATATGTATAACCATTTTCTCAAATCAATGACTTAAAATGGTTTCAAGTACGTAAATTCTTTAGGTCTTAAAGAAAACAATATTTCATAGATTGGCTATCAAAAACCAGAAACAAACAACAAAAAACATGACTTCTAACAGCGGCAACAGATAGAAGGGAAAATATTATAATGAAGATGTTGATTTTTCCCTCTACTTTAAACAGCTTGTTTATTATTTACATTATTCGGACTATTGTCCTCATCTTTGTCGCCATATTTATTACAACGTTTCGGTCGGTGTATGCTCCGGCCTTCTTCAGGCGGTTGGAATGTTGAACCGAACCCTTTATTTCCCTCACTGCTTAGCTTGTTTGTTCCTTTGTTTAGTGACATATCAACTCCTTATAGGTCATTTAATACCGAAATTTAATTTTCTTACAAAAATGTATTGCAGGTAATTTTTGTTACTATGAAAATGTATTGCTGGTATTTTTACTATAAATTTTTTATACTTTCATAGTGTTTGAACCCAGTTTCGAGTTTAAGTATTTGCCCATAGGTGGGGACCCGAACAGGTACTACCGCTCCGGATCAGGTCGAATCTGGGCACACCAGCAATTAAGAGGTCATTCCACGCTCCTCAAAACCTCCGGATCAGAGGCCTTGCTACCGGATGTAGTTTATCGTCATGGGCATGACGCTAGTGAACTTGAGAAAACTGATTTAAGAAAAAGAGTTTATAAATTCCAAAATGCACGTTCAATAAAAGCCAAATGTTTCCTGTATGGAAACGGCTAATTTCGCTATTACCATTGCGTAATATCAGCCGACGAAAGGTTCTTTTTACGCAATTTCTGCTTCAACTTTTCAAAAATGTGTTGCATTCGAAACAAGTGTCTCTTCGATTATAAGAAATGGGTTATTTAATTAGGCCTTAATACACTGATGCGATTTGGAAAAACAAACAACACGAGTTTAAATTTCAAACGCAGATCGGAAAATCTGTGTGAATCACGTGTAAACCATGATTGAGATACACCCCCTCAGTACAACGTTCGATAATTCTAAGGAAGAGAAAACGCTGGGCTACTGGTCGATGGTTTTGTAAGTCATCCGACGAGACAGAGGAGAAAACCAGGTCAAAATGAAGGACGCCGCTCTGGCTCGCTATCAGTTGTTCAATTTCCCCAAACAGTGCCGCCCATCTCACGGTTTATCATCTCTAACCGCGGGGATAAGAAAACGAAGGCGTGATAATAGGTTGGTGGACGGCCTCCAAGGAGAAAGCATCAAGTGTTTATTGAACGCCTCATTTATTATATACAATAAGTATATTGAACAGACACACACACACACACATATATATATATATATATATATATATATATATATTTGGGAGCACATTTTTATCAGGCTAATATAATGTTTG